ACAGGTGTTTAGTGTTTGGGCATCAGGTGTGGCAGCAAAGCAGTCTACGGCATCGGTCGCATGTGCGTGGCGAGATGTTTCCCCTGGAGGCTGGACGAGGTGGACTACCTCGACACTCGGGGAGACAGCTGGCTGTCGCAGCTGGGTGGGCGCACTGGGGTAGGACCGGGCTCAAGTCACGGCTGCAGGATATTTGTCCGCGGATATGGGACCGGGGGGAAATGCGTTGTTAGGGGGCGGGATGCTTGGAGTACTGTTGTGTGAAAAAGTGTGCGTGCGCCTGTTGATTCAGAGAGTGCGTTTGGTTTGACAGTAAAGGGGCAGAAGGAGTGAGGGGAGTTGGGCGTGGGTGGGTGTGGTGATTGTATGTTTGGGAACAGCGTGGAACTGTTTGGTGTGGGTTGCGTGTGTGGGTTAGAGGTTTGTGGTAAGTGGGATAGGTGGTTAGAGGACGATTGTTGGGTGGCGGTTAGTGGCTTGCGGCATGGGTTTGTCGTTGTCATTGGTTTGCGGCAGAACACGTCAGAATGACGGATGCAGGTATGGGATAGGATGGTGATTGGTGGGGGTCGAGCAAGCGTATGATTCGCGTTAGCACAATGTGAAGGATGTGGGAGAGAGGCGAATGTTGAGGAGGGGACGAGGTGGGAGAAGAGCATAGGAGCGCTGGGCGAGCTTTGACGGGCAGTTAGGTGTAGAGCGGCAAGCGGCATGTTGTTGGATCCTAGCCCGAGTCTTTTCACACAGGAGGTGCGCAGTGGGAAGCATTGAGGGAAGGGAAGGACGGTAACGATGTATTGACTGTGGATGAATTGAAGGACGTGTCAGGGGGGAGAAGTTCTATTGCGGTTGGGGAACGAGTAGACAACATGTGCGGGGTGAGAGCATCTGCGTGTTGGACTTTGTCGCCAGTGGAGCAAGGGGTGCGGCCGTTGTGTGGGTAGATCTGCGGTGTCGCGGACACGCTGTGTGGGTGGAGGACATTTGTGGGCGTATTTGGGCGGAGGGAGGAAGGCGTTGGTAGAGGTTGGGTGTGTGAGGGGCACCGTTGTGTGAAGAAGTGTGCGTGCGCCTGTTGATTCAGAAAGTGCGTTTGGTTTGGCGTAGGAGGGAGAGGAGGAGTGAGGGGAGTTGGGCGTGGGTGGGTGTGGTGATTGTATGTTTGGGAACAGCGTGGGAGTGTTTGGTGTGGGTTGCGTGTGTGGGTTAGAGGTTTGTGGTAAGTGGGATAGGTGGTTAGAGGACGTTTGTTGGGTGGCGGTTAGTGGGTTGCGGCAGGGGGTTTCGGGCGGAGATAGCGGTTTGCAGCAGAGCAGGTGAAACTGAGGGATGCAGGTATGGGAGGGGATGGTGATTGGTGGGGGTCGAGCAAGCGTATGATTGGCGTTAGCACAATGTGAAGGATGTGGGAGAGAGGTGGATGATGAGGACGGGGCGAGGTGGGTGAAGAGCATAGGAGAGTTGGGGGAGCGTTGACGGGCAGTTAGGTGTAGAGCGTCAAGCGGCGCGGGTATGACTTGTGGCGAATGGCTTTTCACACAGGAGGTGCGCAGTGGGAAGCATTGGAATGAAGGGAAGGACGGTAACGCTGTATTGACTGTGGATGAATTGAAGGTCGTGTCAGGCGTGAGCAGTCATACGGTGGTTGGGGAACGAGTCGACAACATGTGCGGGGTGAGAGCATCTGTGTGTTGGACTTTGTTGGGAGTGGAGCAAGGGGTGTGGCAGGTGTGTGGGCAGACCTGGTTCGGCGCGGTCACGCTGTGTGGGTGTCGGACATTTGTGGGGGGATTTAGGAGCATTGCGAAAGGTGGTGTTAGAGGTTGTGTGTGTATGGGGTGTCGTTGTGTGAAGAAGTGTGCGTGCTTCTGTTGATTCAGGAAGTGCGTTTGGTTTGGCATTGGAGGGGGATGAGGAGGCGTGGCAGCTGGGCGTCGGTTAGGGTGGTGATTGGGTGTCTAGGAAGAGCGTGGAACTGTTTGGTGTGGGTTGCGTGTGTGGGTTTGAGGTTTTTGTGGAAAGTGCCATAGATGGTTGGAGGACATTTGTTGAGTTGCGGTTAGTGGCTTGCGGCATGTGTTTGCCGTTGACATAGTGCTTTGCAGCAGAGCACGTGAGAATGGCGGATGCAGGTATGGGAGGGAATGGTGATTGGTGGGTGTCGAGCAAGCGTATGATTTGCATGAGCACAATGTGTAGGATGAGGGAGGGTTGGGGTTGATGAGGAAGGGCCAAGGGGAGTGAAGAGCATAGGAGCGCTAGGCGAGCGTTAACGGGCAGTTAGGTCTGGCGAAGGACGCGGCACGGCTATGACCTATGGGGAATGGGTTTGCACGCAGGAGGTGAGCAGTGGGGAGCATTGAAGGGAAGGGAAGGACGCTAGCGGTGTGTCTACTGTGGATGAACTGAAGGTCGTGGAAGGCGTGACCAGTTATATTGCGGTTGGGGAACGGGTAGACAACATGTGCGGGGTTAGAGCATCTGTGTTTTCGACTTTGTCGGTAGTAGAGCAAGGGGTGTGGCAGGTGTGTGGGTAGATCTGCGGTGTCGCGGACACACTGTGTGGGTGGAGGACATGTGTGGGCGTATTTGGGCGGAGGGAGGAAGGCGTTGGTAGAGGTTGGGTGTGTGTGGCGTATCGTTGTGTGGAGAGGTGCGCGTGCGCAAGGGCGTCTGGTTTGACGTTGAAGGGGGAGGAGGAGTGAGGGGAGTTGGGCGTGGGTGGGTGTGGTGATTGTATGTTTGGGAACAGCGTGGGAGTGTTTCGTGTGGGTTGCGTGTGTGGGTTAGAGGTTTGTGGTAAGTGGGATAGGTGGTTAGAGGACATTTGATGCGTGGCGGTTAGTGGGTTGCGGCAGGGGGTTCGGGCGGAGATGGCGGTTTGCAGCAGAGGACGTGAGAATGGCGGATGCAGGTATGGGATGGGATGGTGATTGGTGGGGGTCGAGCAAGCGTATGATTGGCGTTAGCACAATGTGAAGGATGAGGGAGGGATGGGGATTATGGGGAAGGGACTAGGTGGGTGAAGAGCTGAAGAGCGTAGGAGCGCTAGGCGAGCGTTGACGGGCAGTTAGGTGTAGAGAGGCAAGCGGCACGGGTATGACGTGTTGCGAATGGTTTTTCACACAGGAGGTGCGCAGTGGGAAGCATTGAAGGGAAGGGGAGAACGACTGTGGGTGACTGTGGATGAAGGTCGTGTCAGGGGTGGGCAGTTCTATTGCGGTTGGGCAACGAGTAGACAAAATATGCGGGGTGAGGGCATCTGTGTGTTCGCCTTTGTCGGCAGTGGAGCAAGGGGTGCGGCAGTTTTGTAGGTGGAGCGGGATAGGAGAGAACGCATGTGATGGCCGCAGGACATTGTGGCACAGGGGGATAGGCGCTGCTAGAGGTTGGGTGTGTGTGGGGTACCGTTGTGTGAAGAAGTGTGCGTGCGGCTGTTGATTCAGAGAGTGCGTTTGGTTTGGCGT